TACACGGGATATAACCATCATACAGTTGATTCCAGACGTTGTGCGTTTTTTTAGCGATAAACAACAAGCTGAGAGAAGCCGATATATATATATTGTATACAAGAAAATATTATATACGTTGCATGCATATTAAGTCATCAATATTCATTACAGAGTTCCAATTCCAACTCAAACTGTACTTACTGAATGATAAACGCACGTATGTTTACAAACCTTGGGTCACAAAAACTTGCTTAAAAATGCTTCAAAAATGCAAACATTAAATAAGTTTAAATAACAACTGATATATGTGCAGGTTAGTGAGCGTATCTGCCTCCAGAATATATCCCACATACCTAGTTCATTGTTATTATCATGATTTTCTAAAATAGTCATAAGTTTTTGAAATTGTTTATACTGTACCGTTTGTTGCGCGTTTTCGTAACAGTACTGTTTCCTTCGTTGTTAAAAATATAGAGAAGAACAAATGCTGTCTCCTTTGAAATATCAATCTTTTATTTTTACGACTTAAATATTTGACATTTCTAACATTTCATATTGAAAATTAAAACACTTGAATTGTGTGTATATTTAATATGAGATCAAGAGGACCCCATTCATCGGGAGCACCTGCATGATTGCAATCTAGTGTCTGATAGATTTCGCGAAAACATCTAGTTTTTGATCTTGAGGTCAAGGCCACGCAAAGGATATGCGCCACATCTTCCTGAGTTTGCAATTCGTGTGTCAGGGATTCGAAAATATTCGGGAGTAGAAATCTATGAATGCAACGTATTTTTATGGCGAATTTTCCTTGAAAAGTTTTAGTACTTGATTAAATAAGCTTTGAAAAGTTGTCAAGCAGTACTATTATGTTATATACAATTTTTTACCATATTGATCGGCTTTGAGTTGTCAAAATGCACAACGAACAGTACAAGAATTTGCAATGAACGGTACTAAACAAAAACACCATAAAACAACAAAACATGACGAAATTCGTAGTTTGGTCTTTAAACATGCATAAATGAAATATAACAACGTGTTTCTCATTATTTGTGACTTTTTTAAATAGAAGTGTGTATGAATTACTTGTGAACATCGCGAAACAAAGATTATGTGTAACAAAAACTTGAGTAAACTATTAATAAAAGCAGGGTATGTTCACTCGAAAACTAAATGTGCCGTGCGTTTAATGATTTTTGTTGTTGTTGAAATTAATAATGGGTGTTCATGTATTATAAACAATAAACAATGCTGTCAGGGAGCAGTAAGCTTTGTTTTCCTAAACATGTTATACTAACTGTTACGGCCATAAGTCTTTGAAGAAAAAATATTTGGACGTTCTATCTACCAAATTCGCTTCGCTACACAGCAACCTCCGAAATACGTACGGTGGATATACCAGTGATATAGAACCATTTAATCTTGTAACAATAAACTGTTCTCAATATGTCATTGTAATTTCAAAATTGCATATTCTTTTTATGTCCAAGATATACACATACGCACTGATGAAGTTGCATCGATACGTGATGTATAGCACCTAAGATTTAAACACAAATTGAAAACGTAACCATTCACCAAAGCGTAAAATGTTGGTCATTGTGTGAACGCTCTTTATTATCCAAGATGCATTAATTAATGACGTTTCATTAGTATGTGATGTATAATCCCCGAGATAAAGACCGAAACCCAAAACTTAAGCATAGTTTTCTGTGGCCGGTAATGTGCTTAACTGTACAAGGTATATGTATTCAATGATGAAATGTATCCTGACGAGTTATTAGAAACATAGAATTGAATGTTTTAAGCAATAAATGCTCTTATTTTTACGAAATTAATTTTTGTATTTCGTTAGACTTTCACCCACAAAGTAAGCATTATCAAATCCTTCGATCGTTATTTAGTTTGTCAGCGAGTCGGCTGAATTAACACTCTATTTGATGAAAATGAATAAGATTTCTACTGTGAAAATGCACCGCATATACAATTGAAATGAATCGCACCTACAGTGAAAATGAAAGTAATGTATTATTATTCGACGGTAAACATGAATCGCATAACGAAAGCAGCACAGTGGAATTTAACTCAATATCAACAAACTGAATAACAAAATCTGTTTAAAGTTATACAACATTAATGATTATGTTAAAAGGTATATTTTTCTGAAAATAAAACTTTACATTTACTGTTCGTGGAAAATTCTCGATATTTACCTATTTTTGTATCGATTTCACATCTGGATGGCTGCAGGAGCGGTACATACCCGTCTGCATCTCTTACATGTATCATGAGTTTATTAAAACAATCCATTTGATATATTATTTATCATTTATTTCAAAATCATCAATTTTTCGTCTGTATATTTATCATTCTACATTAGAAATGTATGGTCTATACAGTGAAAATGGTATTTCAGGATCCGCACTTTATAAACATGTACACTGTAGATGAGTTTTAGGTTTTTTTGTGTATGTCTTGGCGTGGCTGTTTCGCTGAGTAATAGTGACCAGTGACCGTCATGTTCATGTGCCTACATCAGTTTGTGTGAAAGATTTACAGTGATACGCTGATGACCTGTTGAAATATTAAATTAAGTCACCCTGTTTTCATGTGGCAGTAACAATTTTTGCTCTAAGTAACCCCAAAATCCGAGCCCAACAAATCGAAGAAGGATTTGTTTGTTCTCGTGATGACTTAGTTTTATATATATTGTCATAAGTCTTCTGGCATTCAATCTTTTGAAATGAGTTTGATAATAATGTGATTTTTTTCTTCATTTTAATAGCATATTGTATTTATTGTTAATTTGTCCTCGTCCTGATCATGCATGAAATATTTGCCACTAGACGTTAATCAGCTAAAAATCAACCAATCAATCATTTTTGAAATATTGACATGATTTCAGAAGTACGTGTAAATAACAATTGGGTTTTATTAATTAGGTACTAAAGACATATCTTCAAACATTTGAAATAAGAAAGGCCGGGGATTCAAATCTGTCGACATGGTTAATTGTTTCCATTAATGCGACCCAAAAATAAAGAACATTGTCCCTATTTGAAATATGTATATTCTTTTCGATTTAGATACAAAAGAGATATCTCCAATAAGAAACATAGAAAAATCCTTGGTCAGATAGCAACTAAACAACAACACAAACAAAATCATAACATCTATCTATCAAAGTAAGATCTAAATGATAGCAAAAAAAAGTCGAAAGATACCAAGAGGACAATCAGAAATGATAAATTGAAGAGAAACCGAAAACACCATGGACAAATAGCATAAAACCGCACAATAATCTACAAGACATAATAAGGGAGGCTTTCCTCGATTGTGATATTACCGAATGAGAATTATCACCAAATTTGTACTAACCATGAGTAACACGACGGGTGTCACTTCCCTTACGGAGTACCTGAAATCTCCCCCAGTTTTTGGTCGTGTTTCTCAATCTTTTTTATCTATGTAGGTGGTTTTTGAACTTATTTGTATTTTCGTCGTCTTTCGTTTTTTGTCAATGAGTTGTCAATTTCTTTCGACTTTGAGGTTTGAATGTCCCCTTGATATTTACATTCTATTTTCTAAGACTCAGCAAAACGAAACCCACCAAACTCCGTAACGTAAGTCAATACATCGTTTTAACTTTTATAGTCTGGAATAAAGACTTAGTGTAAAAGTATTCAAATGAAAGTATTCAACTGAAATCACATAAGATTGCAATCAACAATCAATCTTTTTTTTTACATAGGTGCACTATTTCAGAAAAAGTAGAGGTTGTTGCAGTTATTCTGCTATACAAATAAAAGGATATTCATAGACTTTGATATTTTGTATAAATTAATTTTTAACTAGTTAAAATTTTGTTTAGACATGTGATTGGTTTAATTAAACAGTACATGGAAACTTTAATAGTTTTAATTAAATATTCCATTCACGAGGTACGAAATTGTCGGAGTATGAAATAGTTTTTGACTGGGTACGAAATAGAGGGTAAAAATGATTAAGGTACGAAATGATTATAATTCCAATAATTAAATACAGAATACCAAAAATGGGTCATCGCTTGACACAAGTAAATTTTAACAAATTGAATACTAACGTCTTGGTGGGCAAATATTTACCTTGCAATTCTAAAGTGATATACACATATATTTCTATATATAGACTGAAAGTTGGTTGTCGATCGATTTGAGATCATAGAATATAGTGCCATATATTACCTCCCTTGCAAGTGTAACTTTATAATGTAATGTCGTCTTGAGTTGATAGACTAGATAGTAATAACTGAATTACAGACCTCTGACTTTGGACAGAAACAAAGTAAATCATGTACCATGTAATCACATCCGGTCCTCAGTTTTTTGTTTGTCACCTTATCTTTTAAATTGGATTTGTGATAACTCTTTCAAGTATATAGGCTAACCACACAGATTCACCGTTCTTCCATCAACTGACCAATTCGTAAAAGTTTAAAAAATTATCCCTTTTCCCACCTTCCATCAAAAACCAGAACCAATTTTGTAAAATATTTTTTTCCTTGAAAATAATCCTATAATTTGTCTGTGCAGATTCAATTCCACATCGTTGCATAAAGTAGAAATATTACAAATAACCTATGAGCATGGATAGGGTTTGTTCGCCAAACATAACATTTTTGTCCTACAACCGTTCGCCCACAGAGTCTGGTAACCCTGGGTTCATTTGCCCATTTTTATTAGTAAATGCAAACGATATTTGGTTTTTGATTTCAAATATCATGAACGTGCGGTCAGAATCCGGATGTTTAATCTGATGCTTTGTGCAGAGAGAGTGCAACACTCTCTACATGTTAAACATGTTAAAGAATCATTGCAACTACTCGGGTAAAACACAATAAACAGTCAGGGGAAATACTTAAATGAGTGATTTCCTAAATCACTTATTCAAGTAACATTTTGTCAAGAAATGTTGCAAGTAAGAGTAGGCTTACTTTAATAATCACATATTTAAGTAGTAAAAATAAACCACTAGACTAAGTGATTTGAAGATTTTTTTGTAACTTTAAATATATATTAATGATCTAGAACCAACATCTGTGTTCATAGAATTACCGGTCATTTCAGGTGATGACCCTGTACTAAATCTGGGATAATAATAAGAAAATCACTTGTTACATAAGAAAATATTCTTTTCCTTTTTTCCTTAATATAAACAAAACAAAAACAAAACAATAAACAAACAGAAACGCAAATCTATATTTAGAATCTAAAGGTCGAGTCAACTCACTTCAGGTAAGGACTGTTTGATCCACGCACTTGTTAATCTCTAAAGAAATAATAATCAACAAGTTTACTGATTACACGTACATTGACATCGGTTATTAATGCAGTCAGACTAATTAAGAATAATCTGTCACATGTTGATGATAACATCAGATTGCACGTAAGTAAATAAAACATTCACTAACTTACACATCGTAAAAAAGGCAAACGTACAGAGATGTAAAAACAAATACGAAGAAATTGGCCAATTTGTTCCTAAAAATTCATTTTGTAGTCACTATGTTTGGTTCCTGTGATGAACTGCGTCGTAACTTTTCATTGTTTAACCAAGTTTGTAACAATTTAAAAACCTAACGAAGCCTGAGTCAAATAATACTCAACGTCGGGGTTACAATCTATACACACACAATGTTTTTCTTAGTGCATTTCATCCATAGTAATCGAATGGAACTGCAGTATTTACTGTCCGAACTTTTTTGAGTTCCAATCAATATATTGTGATTGGATAAAAAAAATACAACATCTACTGAACAGATCATTCCAAGTTGAAGGATGGACCATGTGGATATTTTTTTAACAAATAGATGAAAATGAAATCTTGAGATTTGTAATTACTGAATGTGATAAGACGTCAAAGAACTTGTCGTCTTAGGTTTATAAAGCTAGCAGAATAGGATAACGGTCATTTGTTTTGTTTTTGTCATAATGTTGCTGTCTTAATAACGTATAATAGCCGACATATCCTTTTATGCAAACTCATGTATATTCACATATAGTTTATAAATACATAACTGAGTTAACTGTGTTTGTTGATTCTGTGTTCTTGTTAGACAGTGGCGAACATTCTAAAATTTTTATACAGCACAGACCACACTAGCGTCACATTTATTATAGTTAGTAAAAGTTATTTTTTTAACAATTTCCCATCTGCAAACCGGAATCCGGTGAAGGCCCGGTATACATCCCCTACAACTGTGCACAGCATTTTCTCAAGTACAGGGGAAAAAAAATCAATTAGTTTAGTTTCCTTCCCATCTTCATATAACACTACAGAGGCACAAGATGATAACTTATCGTGTGGTACAATGCGGTCTGTAAATGTAACAAAAAATTTAAAGTGACTAGCTTTTGTGGAATTTAAAGTGACAAAACGTTTGATTGTCTTTCGAACATATGCTTTGATATTGGAATCTGTATACCAGCTGTTAACTTCAGCAGATGCAGAAGATGTTTTAGGTTCGTGATGTCTAGACTCTTGCATACTGGGTAACGTTTGTTTAACAGAGGACTCTTGCTGTTGAGTCGTAGAATGAGAGCTTTTATCAGGTTCTTTTTGTACATACTGCCCACTTGAAAATGGTAAATCGATGTCTAAAATGATCAGATGATCATGTTCAAACAGTTTCGCATCAACTCCTACTTTGGGTAATATTTCTATTTTCTCTTTCTTAATTTTGTTGATATACATGTTTAACAAACTTATTTCTATTTCGGCATTTTCTGAAATCCAGTGTGTCATATTGTCTATCGTATCCTGCCGCGGTGGCATTTTGTCTGTTGACTGGTTGTCTTCATTCAAAAGATAATTGAGGACTTGGTCTTGAAAGTCTTCTTGAAAATGTTGAACACTTCTTCGAAATTTATCGATCTTGAATTTGATTTCTGGAATATGAACATAAGCTTGCCCCGACATAATGTCATTACATGAAACAAAGATTCGTTGCAGGTCGTCCAGTGCAATTACAGCCTCCTTCATCTTTTCCTTATTGGTTATTTGTAAAACCTTGTTTTCAGGTGTTATTCTTTTATGGATTGGATATAGCCAGACTGTCACTGGCACTGCTTTACCCTCTTTAAGGTAGGATGGAAGCTCTTTGTAGACCCGAACAGCCTCTTCATATGTCGTTGGATTAAAGGGGAGTATGATGTCACCGTAGAATTTGCAAGATATATTTTCTGCCTTTTGCTTGTCGATATTCTTCATGCTAATTTCTGCTTTTCCTGATGCGTGAAAACTGGGTATGCAGTCAATCATTCCCGTTAATTCACCTTTGACCTCTTGCATGTCTTCGCTATTGGATATTGATCTTTCAAATGCAAATGCTACATTTGTTCCATATTCAATAGCAGTAACTATATGAGTAGCATTTGCTTTTGTGTTTGAAATTTCCGATTGAAAATGTTTCATTTCTAATTCCTTGTACAACATTATATATTCAGCTGTCAACGTAATTCGCAACTGCTTCTTTGATGAAATTTTGTTCTTGAGAAATTTCCCTGAACTGCCCAATGTCACTTTTCCAGTTAACACATTAAGTTCTAGATTTGCATCGCCATTGAAAACTACTGATTTATTTTCAAAAGTGTCTCCATATATTACCTCAAACGAACACCTTGAAGAGAAAGAGAAAATACAGTACTAAATAAAACGTTTATAAATGTCGTGTGTCAAAAGCTCCATTCTTTGCTTACCGTCATACGATACTATCAAACCCACTCATTTAAAGGCCAAGGGTGTTGAAATACCTGAATACGTGTTAAATGATCCAAAAACTTAACTTTGCATTTACTTTATAGTAATGTTTAACAAATGCTCTACGCTGTTCCCATTCTATCAGTTATACATTCATTGTATTGCTTATAAAAGTAATGTATTCTTATATTCATGACAGATACTTTGAAAAAATATTTGCGACCTTACCAAGACATTTCGGTAGAATTTTGTAAACCAAATATATTGAGCAGTGTTAAGTTTTTGCAAGTAAACCAAGTTTATTTTCATTTCATCTGTTGATAACCTGTATGAGAATTTATGATAATTTTCAATGATAATAATAATAAATCCAAATTTAGACAGAAGGAACAATTTAATCCAACTCTTTTTCATAATAAGAAAATGGATTAAAAGTACTTCAAAAATACTCTTATTCAACAGAATATTGTTTGAAACTGGCTGCATCTAGCTGCTTGATATTTTGATTGAAAATACATTTGTTACTTGTATTGTTATATACATAACTATGTGATTAAACGTTTGTTTTTGAGATAAATACATCGACAAGGGGAATAACTTTGTCCCTCCTATTACAGATTTAATGTTTTTGATAGCTTGAATCATTTTTTTTTCAAAACTACATAAAGATCGGATCAAACATTACGTGAAAAATATTTTAACAAAATGTGTCAATATTAGAAAGACATACTATCTGTAAATCATTAAGATTATAAACCATATAAAAATTTTATTTTATTCGCCTAATATCTATCTTACTGAATCAAACATAAAAATTGACTGATGATTTCCATTTCAGAGCTTTACTATATTTTTCATGGTATTCTTCATACCATAGTTTATTATAAACGGAATTTCCCTTACTTTGATGGTGATGTTCCCCATCAAACGAACGGAAAACATCTGTCATATTCCTGACTTGGTACACTACTATTAAGCACTACTATTAAATTTTATCTCAAGCATAATGACTGATGTGGAAGTATGATTTTATGAGCAGAATATCAAAAGAAGCTGTATTTCAAATCTAGCTTTTAACGGAAAAAATTCATAATCCAAAGTGAATTGTCAACGACAGAAATGAATATATGAAGGCGATACAACAACAAGATGGACATATCTTTTTATAATAAAAACTAGAACATACCCGTTTCTATTCTCTTTGAATGTATGATTTTCCATATCTTCCATTGTAAGCAACGTTTCTCCAGGAATAATGGTATCGTGTACTCGGTCATATAACATTCCTAGGCGGAAGGGCCTTCCTAATGCTGGAGTCCGAATAATATATGTATCATCACTTTTCTTTAATAGGTCATCCCCTTTATTGACCATTTCTCTACCTTTCCCCTCGTTCCATTTGTTTTTAAAGCTCATCTGAAATAAAAAAAAAACACACTGTTTTATGTTACAGCTAACTCAATGGAGCATGTCAACCCATCTTGGTATGTGAAATCTTAAAACCCTTACCTCATTTCCAAGAGAATAGATAGAAACGCAAAAATGGTTAAAACTGAATAGGTCTATGAATATATATGCTTCATCAATCTATCAAGACCCAATTGTTGCAAAGTACTGATCCTACCTGCCTTACAAATATGTTGTTGTCCCCGCAGAAAAAGCCCCAAACAACATCATTTTTCTGTGTTAATCACATTACATAAACTGCTTGATAAATGAATAAGGTATTGACAATTCACTTGGAAACTCAACATATATCCCCACGACACTTACCATGGAGAAATCCAGGATAATCATAGGTCTGTTCTATGTTCCTTTAAAATTTCGACCAAAGATGAAGAACTAGATCTTCCTTCATTCAATGTAATGGATACCTAAATTACATAAGTGCCCTTACAAACAACGTTATATTGCTGGTTCTTCCAAGAGCTCTACGAAACCTCTTTCTAAATTATTAGCATCAATTTTTTCAGCAATCAAAGCCGGGCTTCAAAGCTTTTGTAAAACTACCTATTCTAGGCGGCTTTAATCAAATGTGGATATTAAAAAATTTAGAAAATCTGTTCGAGCACATACAATCTACGACTCTTTCACATCTGGCAATAGTATTAAAACATTTGATTTTTCTACCCTTTATACAAGAGTTCCCCATTCCAAGCTAAAAGACAAACTGGAAGAATTTGTCCTGCTTTGTTTCATAAAAAAGAATGGCCAACGTAGATAAAAGTATCTTGTCTTAGGAAGGGATAAATCGTACTTTGTAAATAATCACTCTGATTCAAATAAAAAATTTCTCTCAAACTGATATTATCAAGATGCTTGATTTCTGGATTAACAACATATTTGTTACGTTTTGGGGACTTGTTTTCAACAAACAATCGGCATTCCCATGGGAACCAACAGTGCTCATATTCTTGTCGACTTATTTCTTTATTCATATGAGGCTGACTTCATGCAGGAGCTTCTATGGTAGAATTAAAAGAAGCTAGCATTATCTTTTAACTTCTCCGCTATATAGACGATGTCCTCTCACTAAATAATTCAAAGTTTGGTGACTATGTTGGAAAGCATCTATTTCATCGAACTTGAAATAAAGGATACAACCGATACAGTTAAGTCTGCCTCATATCTTGATGTACATCTATGAATTGACAATGAGTGTCGGGTGAGAACCAAACTTTACGACGAAAGAGATGATTTCAGCTTCCCAATTGTGAACTTTCCGTTCCAGAGGCACCTGCGTATGGAGTGTACATCTCCCAGTTGAACGATATTTCAGGGCTTGCATTTCCTATCATAATTTTTTGAAAGAGGATTGCTGCTCACAAGAAAACTATTAAACCAAGTTCCAAGTGATGAAGTTGAGATCATCCCTTCGAAAATTTCAGGTCACCATCGAGTTGGTTGACCGTTGTGGAATATCTGTTTCACAGATGACGACTGATATGTTCCCAATTGTCTTAATCACATCCCGTCTTCTTTTTCTCGAATGTGATCTACCGAAATAGACTTGTCACCGGGTTTGTACTTACATCAGCAACACGACAGGTGCCACATGTGGAGCAGGATCTGCTTACCCCCCAGGAGCACTTGAGATTACCCCCAGTTTTTGGTGGGATTTGTGTTGCTCAGTCTTTGGTTTTTCTATGTTGTGTTTTGCATACTGTTGTTTGTATTTTTGGTCTTTTTCGTTTTTTGCCATGGCGGTGTCAGTTTATTTTTGGGGAGACTGGTAGTGATTGGGGAATTATTTCACTCGTTCCTTACTTTGGGCCTGACAAGTTCTAGAATTTGCAGCTTTGGAAAATGTGGTTAGTGGTAACAGTGGGATCTACAGATTGGACCTTCTCCACCACATTTCTTAGAGGGGAGGCCTACACATGCCAACACTTAAAACTGGAGCATTGGTAATACGAGTGTTTTTCCTTGTCACTCCCCTTGGTAGGTGGTGTTGTTTAACTACCAGGGGTTTTTATGACACTGTGTCAACATAAGTCAGTTGATAGCCAATGGTGTAGGTAATCAGTAGTCTCCTTGGCGCTTCACATAAAAGAATCTTGACCTAGACGATCTGGTGCTTGCAATTCGATTATAACTTTGATCAGGATATATTTTGTTTTTCATTTTTTGACACTTGCTTATGAGATTTGATCTAAAGATCAAAATGATTAAAAAAAGTTTGACATTTTATTGTCCGAAATTAAATTGTTTTATCATTTCACATAGGCTTCGATATTAGACATATATTGTGTTGCGTTCTATGGAATCGAATATGGCATATGACGTTGATCTTTACCTTCAATGACAAGTAATTGTTTTTTTTATATGTCCAGCATAAAACCATATATATCCTAACCTCTTACCAATATATAGTCCTAATTGCCTTGGTAATACCCTTACCTGGGAGATACATTTTATCATCTTTTGGATGCATACATATATACATATAAAAAATCTGAGACACGATTTTGATGAAAACTTATTTTCTTTGATTATTTATTTTACTTTCATTTGACCTGAATGTGATATTTTCAAACAAGTTTGGGACAATTTTATAGTAAATGAGCCATATATTTTAAGTAATCATAATGTAATAACTTTTATCTAAAGATATATATATAGAAACGTATGTAAGATTAAATAAAATAAGTTAAAGACTATAATATTTCATTGTGTAGTTTTTGGAGAAATTGACCTGTTGATTGGTGTAAGAAAAATCAGACTGTTTTGCTACCTTAATTAAGCAAAAAATATATTAATCAATATTACGAATCAATTGATAAAGGACGAAAGCAGAAATTAAACAAAAATGAATTTTATTTTTACAAATAAACTAAAGATAAATTCACAAGTCAGATATGATACCAAAATGCAAAATTCTTATACTGTATAGTTTGTTGATTCTAGCCCTTTCGAATTAATTCATAAGGTTTTAATCCAAGTATGTCAAATGAATAATATTAATTCCAAAGTTCACATTATGATAAATCGAATGGTCATTAGTTCACAAGCAGACTGTTAAAAAATTACGTATCGCACCAGTAAAAATTAAATCCCACAAATGATATTATCCTCAGGTGGAAATAAGTCCAAAGATAATAAATTTACTGATTAAAACATCCAATTCACAAAGTGATGGCACAGAATAATATTTTAAAAAATCGTCAAAAGTAACCGGCTTATAATCTGGTACGACAAACGCAAGTTTCGCCTGCATAGGAATCATCAATGGCGCTCGACAAAAAAGAAATGGGTTATGTTGTTTTAGTCTCTCTTTATATTCTGAACAAAACAGAAATGTCTAAAATTCTGATTTTAGATTATCTTGAAAATTATAAAATGATGTATATAAAATACTTCTAGAAAATTCTCCAGGTTTTCAACCTTCTATCATAATATTTCTCTCAAAAAGATGTGTTCAAGTGTGACATTACGTGACAAAAGTCACATAACCAAAAAACCGACAGAACATGACCAATTAATCGTTAAGCAATATCGATTGGAAAATAATTTTTAAAAAATATGATATTAATCATTTTACATGAACATGCATATGATAATAGATATACATGGAAAATTAGCATCATGATTCAAAATTTGATTTTTCATGATTCATTTTTGAAGATTTATAGAACTCGCCTGACTTAACGGTATCATCAACTATTTGATTACTTGTACTGGGGTATATATATAGCTAATAACATGATTTCAACATTTTCCTTGTATTGAAGACTGTCCGTTTTTTGTGTTTGCTGCGACTTTAAAAATATCATATCACCCTTGTTAGTACCATTAAAATTGTGATAAGGCAAAACGTTTTTGTTTTCAAATCAAAGTTTTTTATGTCAAAATGGACGCTATAGACTCATTCTTTACCAGTAGAAAGTACAACTAATGAAAAATATAGCATTCTAAGAATTCAATAAATCAAAACAATTAATATTTTGAACCGATTGAGGTACGACATTGATAGGAAACGATGGTGTCATACATGTAATTTCACTTTTTACAACAACGTTATTGTCAGTCGGAAAAAATTAATGAATGTCAATATATTGTAACATACCTTTCAACTGGAAAAGCTGAAATGCAGGATGTTGATGATTATATATGTTATGTAACTTCCCGTTTAAACTATTTTTTCATCACCACGTGACAGTTTCATGTATTTTAACCTTGACATTTACTAACTCTTAGCAGATGAAGAGGTAAGCATTGTTTTGTTCTCAACTATGATCAGACATTACAAATATAATAAACATTTGAATAATCAAGTACCACTTAAATCATATATTTTCAAATGTTGTTTTGGGAAAGATTTCTTTTTGTTTCTATCGTAGCTTTCAAAAATGATAAAACAGTAAATCGAATTGCAATTTAACAATAATAGAAAAAAATCATTGTAAATATAAATACAAATATGTAAACATTGAGAAGAGACATTCGGTGTTGTCCTATCACTTATAAGTCCATAAAGGTAACATGCGTGGTTTTTTATACTTAACTTGTTTAAAGAAATTACAGTTTTTAACACCACGTTCTATTATATACATGATGTCCTCTCACTAATTTGAAAAAAAAATAGTGACTATGTTGAACACTTCTATCCCGTCATTCTTGAAATAAAGGATATAAAAGACACAGTTAAGTCTGCCTCATATCTAGACTTTCATTTATAAATTGACAATGAGGGTCGGTTGAGAACAAAACTTTACAACAAAAGAAATAATCTTTCCAATGTGAACTTTCCATTTCTATGTAACAACGTTCTAGTAGCGCCTGCATATGGAGTATATGTATCCCAGTTGATACGCTATTCCAGAGCTTGCATTTCATATTATTATTTCCTTGAAGCAGGGTTGCTGCTACAAGGAAGCTACTTAAACAAGGGTTCCAAGTGGTGAAGTTGAAATTCTCTCTTCGAAAATTTTACGGACACCATCACGAGTTGGTTGACCGTTATGGAATGTCTGCTTCATAGATGACGACGGATATGTTCCAATTGACGTAACCACAATCACGTCCTCTTTTTCTAAAATTTGACCTTCAGAATTAGACTTATCACCGCGTTTGAATTTACATGAGCAACAAGACTGTTGCGACATGTAAAGCAGGATCTGCTTACCCCTCCAGATTTTGACCGGTTTTTGAAAAATGTGAGTATTTAACCAAAAAAGTATAAAAAGGATATTCTTACCCAAAACCCAAATTCTATTAGTAGAAATTCATTATAGTTTTATTTTCATTTTATATAAAAACTTATACATTTTGGTTAAGGATTTCATTCGGTGCAAAATGTTACAAAAATATGACAATTTCAATCTATTATCCTTAAAAGACGTACATGTATGCAGTAAGAATTGTATCATTCTATGGAGAACTATTAAGTATATTTTATAAACTCCTAAATATTCGAAATCAAGGAAGTTCCACCAACATTGAATTTTGACCCTGTGAGTGAAACAATTACACGGGAAATTGGCCCTACCTCTATAAAGAGATTCTTTTATTGCCAAACTGTTTTTAGACAATGAAAGAAAGGTCTGTAACCAAAACACTATCTCATTGTTTAGAATATTATTTCATTCAGTATAAAAATAAGGAGATGTGGTATGATTGCCAATGAGACAACTGAGTTCAAATGAAGTGGATGTAATGTTCTTATTATGACCCCTTGTTATCGGTATCTTCTTCCTCTTTTGATAAGGAACTATTACAAAATGAAATAACTAATATTGTAAAATAAAAATATATGTATAAAGAATTCATTTTTAGCCAGATGTCATAACATACTATATTGCAGTCAGAAGGAGCATTAAAGTTTAAGTACTTCATAAGCAAGAAGGGCATTCCTGATATTATGTTAATTTACATTTGAATATTTTCAACTGTTATTTCGTACTGTTTTCAGACTTTGAATGACAGTTGTATACCAAATGCAGTTTCTAGCCGTATAATATAATGTGTTTCAATTGATGTTGATATGCTGTTTTCACTTTACATTTATCGATCCCTTTTATTTCAAATATTTTAATTATGGTAACTAGGAATATTGGTCGGCTTTAAAACAAGACAAGAATTAAAACTTGTAGCTGAATATTTTATCAATAAAATTGCAGACATTCAGCAAAATTATTATGTAACCAGTTTATGTCACCTGGTACCTACATTTGCATTGGGTTTTTATTCTTACTTAAAACGACTGCATCTGCATCGACCCAGTGGTTGTAAAACTCATTAGATATATAAGGATTATAATTTATACGTAAGACCAGCGTTTCATCTATATAAAAAAAAGACTAGGAAATTATCAGTAGCCTATAAAAGTAATTTGTGCATTGTCCCTCCAAGAAAACCATGATTTCTACGAATAAATGTTCGATTTTGGACCCGTGCCGACGTTTTACTTATTTTTCTTTTGTTTGTGGTTAGAATGACTCATTGAACTTTGTGTGTTTATATTATTTATCTGAATATGAGGAATTTAAAGACACAATAATCCGTAAAAATGTATAGAAAAACTGTACCAATGAATCAATCAAAAACCAGGTGTCGACAAAAAACAGCAAAAACCCTAGCCAAAAAGAAAAAAAAGTCTAAAAGACAAACAAACCTCCACCCTAACCCGAAACTCCGGAAAGATAGCAGTTGATGATAAATACAAATTCGATGATAATTCGTATTCAGTGTTGTCACAACCGAGGACAAGTGAAAGGGATTGAGGCTTTAACAGACAGAAGGATAATATCCGTGGTCATCTTTGACAAAGATTTTTCATAAAGGTTAACCAAAATCAAGTGTCCGTAAAAATTCTCGAAGGGTTGACTTCAACTTTACCAGTTCGGACCATTGGTTCAATTGATTTCATGAATGCAGCAACCATCTATCAAGGTGATCATTGTGTGAAACGCAAGCCCATGAATATCATGTCAACCATGAGCATTATTCTCCATAGGCAGGAGCTGCCGTAATGTTGATACAGAGAAAGGGGAACATCACATTAAGAGAGAGAATCTCTTCTGTCTTAAGTTTAATGTTCAACCAATCCTTATTGTTAATTTCTAGATGTAAGGCAAGATATGAGACAGACTTAACCATATATACGGTATTCTTCGAATACTAAGTAATTCAACATTTTATAAACAGTGAATATACAGACAATAAACGTATCCATAATATTTGATGTCAACACAAAAGTGCTGATTACTTGGATGGCAATACCCTGGAGGACGAAACGTCCACCAGCAGTGTCATCGACCCAATGGTTTAACATGTCCATCTGGCAGGATTTACCTTAGATAAGGTTCTGCGCCTCTGATTTGAATTACACCGTTTAAACTCTGTTTTGCGTTTGTTATATTTGCGTCAGTGTATTGAATTAAATGAATATTTCTCGATAACCAAATTCAAATAAGTTCATTTTTTATCTGATTTAGGTGTTAACAGTTGCATGAATATGGATGAAAAAGAAATTCCAGCCTTAGGCAGACCATTTGATTTAGGAATGTTGTATGACTGTCGAACGCACAATTTGTTAACAGATAGAAGAATCTGGGATGAAAAAAACATAAAATTGCATACTGTTTCACATCCTCAACCTCAGTAAGTAAAATCAGGAAATACAAATACCCATATTGTTTCTTTTTAACCAATTGAGTTGCCGTAACATTATTTCAATTAATGACAAATCTTAAAATTGATTAGATTGGAAATAAAATCTAGGAAATTTTAACCAAATAGTCAAATTATAAATCCTCACTCATATCGTCTACAATTTTCAACCTCTTTTCGCTGTCTTTGAAAGAAATGAAAAACATAATTTGCTTTTTCAACTCAGTTTCATTTAAGTTAACATCTAAACTGCTTCTTACATGTATTAGATTGTAATGGTATGCCTTTACCCCTTTTTGTTATTCTAATAATGTTAAGATTACAAATTAGAAATATAAATGGAAAATACGTTTAAGAATCTATTCTGGTCACATACCAATAGATCATGTCAGACTGGGAACAAATTTGTTAGTGAATGAGGTAAAAGGTAAGTGTTATGGGTTTCTTTTCAGATTATTGAAGAAAGAGTAGAATTTTGATATTGCTCGCAATAAGAAAAGATTGGCATGACTAAATCATCAGAAAATTCTTTTACCAGTTGGTATACTTTGAATGTGTTTTAGCAAATGTCCATTTCAGGTTTTAATCATCACTCTGGATACTCTCCGGAGCACATGAGATCATGTTCGGATTTTGAACGGGATTGTATTGCACAGTCTGCAGTTTTCTATGTAGTTTTTTTCAAAGCTATTGATGTCTATATAACAATTTTCCCTGTTGTGGTATGCAATGGTGTTGTCGGTCTCTCGGTGATTATCCCCTTAAATTGTATCTTCCTTTTTGTCTTCTATCAGTCACATTGTATCCTTCTTACATATTTTAGGCCAAATAAAGAACCCACTTAACTGATGTGATAACTAGGCAATTTGCAGAGTGTGATAGGTGGTGGGTTTGATCTTCAGATTGGTCACAACAAAGACTTGAAATCTGATAACCACTTCTTTTACGCAAACCACGCAGCACTTAGAAGTAAGAGAAAAAAAATGATTGGATTTAATTTGAGTCAGAATCAGAGGTGTAAACTAATATGTATTCCTGCGAAATGTGTATTCCTTTTAAGCTAGCATGTGAAAATTGGCAACGTTAGTACACATACAGCAGTACTCCCATTACATCGTTTCATTTAATGTTTCTACCACCGCTTCATAGACATTGTTATGGATTTAGACGTTTAACCAAAACAATCAAAGTACCGAATGTAAACACGGCATCAACCATTTACCACTGGAAGTGGAGAGATTACCAACCATTTGTTTTAAAAAGCTATAATGCACTATAAATGATTATATTATCGGTCAAGTCGTTATGATTGACAGAAATACAATCATTGTTTCTTCATTTTAGTTTATGTCTTTTTATACTTATGTTTTGTTTCACGTACAATTTTCCCATAACATTGTCCTCAAATTTATCTTAATTGATAACCATGTTTTATATTCATACATCTTTGTTTTTGATTGTCTACATACAATGCATACTATTTGTATATATTGTTGCATATTTGACTTATATTGTGGTCAAGTATTAAGCATTTCATTTTTATTACAAGTAAAACGATTCACGCTTTATATTAAAACAATCACACAAAGGAATTAAGTTTTTCTTATGAAAAAATATCGGTTAAGTTTTTTTATATCGAATTATATCAAACTCTTTATAGTGACCCACTTGGATTCCTTCACGATTAAAGCAAAATTTCATTCGCAATTGACATATTTTGCCAACTTAGTATGGTGTTTTCTATATGACTGTGTAATAGTTCACGAATAATATACCAAACTTGATTTACAGTGCATATTAGTATATATCAGGACTCATTCGCCCATCTGCGGTTGAGAATAATCTTCCCTCTAATATCAGACAATCATTCACAGTTGTTAAAAAGTTTTTTAGGCTAAAATCCTACAATTTACTACTTTATATTTTACTGGAACGAGAATTGATAATATTTCACATTCACGTTAAGGCAAAATTGCACTAAGAAGTTTGAACTTAGATCTTTTCAAATACAATCTCCCAGATTATCGTTACTGTTAATGTGACAGATATATTAAAAACGGTGACGAATTTTTCTTAAGTTGTCGTTTTAACATACAACGGATGCCTCAACTCTCGCAAAACTTCAATAGACTGTGTGTCAAATTTCACATTCATAATATTCTTTTTGAAGATCAACTGTATGTTATATAAAACACTACAAATTATATAATTTCAACTTGCGGTTTGTCTATACATGTACTTTTATTAAGACGTTTCTTCCGACGACAGCAAACCTCCTCACATCACACGCGTGGCGTGGTTTGTGGTGTCATATTTGTTTTTCTTTCCCAATATCATATATTTCTGTGTCAAATATTCTGTATCGTAAATTGTCTAAAAATGTAATTATAATTTTGTATTTGAGAAGAACTTAATTTTTACTTGTTTTTTTTTTTTGCAATAAAGTATGTTTAAAGTAAAGAAAAAATAAAACTTGATTCAATGCTAAAAGTGAAGAGGAAACAGTCATGCAAGTTCAATATTAAATTATATCAACTAAGCAATAAATAGACACTCGTTTTAAATGAGTTAAAGTTGTTAAGTCGTTCATACAAATAAAGTGATAAAATAAAGCATACTTACAATCCTATAAGACTGTAATTCCACTTTTATGAAACGTTATACTGATTTTTCATAAAATCATTGAAGTGGAATTAAAGTCTTATAGAATTGTAAGTATGCTTTATTTTATCACCTTGCACTTTCACCACTTGACCCTGTTTTTCTTCAGCAGTTATTAAAATTTCTGACCAGTTGAACAGTTTGGTTTGATAACACAAACTGCAATTTGGTCAGAATTTTTAATAAACTGCAATAGGCGATGAACAACACTTACAGTCAAATCACAGTAATACACATACACCATCTATCATCTAAGACTCAAGTGTTACTAAATAAATTGAACAATAGACGAGAAAGGATCTTTCTTCATTCTACCAAAATTACATGAGGTTATATTGCTGGGTATGCCAAAATGCTCTATGAAACCTGTTTCCAAAGTATTGTTAATTCAGAAATCAATGCGCACATTTATTATTACGAGTCATTGACCTTTGGCAAAAATACGAAATCTAATTTATATGATTGTTAAAGTTTGATGATGGGAAATCACTACTGAAATAATGAATGGGAGTTTTTATTAATGCAAACCTAGGTTTACGGTCATGCAACTTTCGAGTACGATTATTGTATTCGGACTCAGAAATCAACCAATCAAAATACTGGAGTTTGCGTTTCGAGCACAAATTTTGAACTCAGGTATTGAGTAAAGTTTTACGACCGAGAGCCCTGATACTGTCGCATTTTTCTCATTTACCAAAACATAGCAAACATTTCTGAATTTACAGTACTTATAGCCATTCTAGCAGCAATTGAACCGATGTTTTAGTGTTGCTAGTGTGAAACAGACGATAATTGAATCTTAGAGATTTCAAAGATCTGTAAACAAACGTCGTTCTCATCATGCAATATTTTTATGAAACAGTTAACTTCTCTCATCGTTACACAAGTAGTCATCATATCAAAATTCAAGGAAGAAGGAGTCGAATTTTGTAATGTAAAAAAGACATTAAAACCGAAAACTTTTTGATAAAAAAAATATTTGGTATTTCTATCGGAAACAACTGCGCTTCTCTTCTTGTCGATTTCCCGACCTGTTCATTTACTTATTTGAGGCAGTCGTCGTAAACAGGCTTATCCAGAAGAATAAACATAAAACTGGCAATATTCTCTTTCACGTTCCTCTCTAAAGGTGCAATATTTTCACTGAAAAAATTCAAGGTTTTGTGACTATGTTAATCGAATATATCCTATTCAACTTAAAATAATAAAGGATATCATATTTACAGCTAGAAATGATGAATACCTTAACTTTCACCTGGAAGTCAGCAGTGAGTGTCTGTTAAGGATTTTAAAACAAAAGAATTGACTTCAATTTCGCTATCATGAACTCACTTGCATATAAATTATTCACATCTCACCAGAAACGAAATCTTAAAATGTTATTCCTGTCAGTATTTTCTTGGTTAATTGTTGCAGCTTACAAGAAAACTATTGAGATTATGGTTCTTCATGGGAAAAGTAATAAAAAGGGAGAAAAACCCAAGACGGCAATCAAAACCCATTAGACAACGACAGACCATGTCATGAAAAACGACAAAAGACAAACATTAGATCACAAATCACTGCCAATTACCTAAATATTTGGCAACACCAACCTACCAAAAATCCGGGAGGGAACTCAGTTGCTTCAAAAGAGTAAACAAATCCTTCTCCACTGTTTATGGCAAGTAAAATCCGGGGCTGAATCCCAACATTGAAGTCACAATTAAGGAAAAGAGGACAGATATGTGGCTACGACAATTGGAACATATCCATGTTCAATTTGTATGAAGGCGTCTGTGAAACGTCAGAAGGGATGAAATCAATTTTACTTTAAAGAATCCCTGGCTTAATAGCTTCTTTGTAAGCAGCAACCCCCCTTCAAGAGTATCATGATGGAATAACCCTGAATATCGTATTAACTGGGAAATAAATATTCCATAAAAAGGTGTTCCTGGAATGTTGCTTCAAAGAAATGGAAAGATCAAAGGTGGAAATTTTTAATCTTCTAATTGTCAATTTCTAGATGAAAGCAAATAAATGAAGTGCACTAAGAAATATGGCTATTCTAGCTTCCTTTCATTCTTCATGAGAAGTTATTATATGAGGTCTGCCTCATTTAAAAAAAAAGAACAATTTTGTCGAAGTACCTTTGAATCCCGTAGTAATGCCGCTTGCATTTTAACGTCCAACAAACGTAACAAATAAAATATATTGGTAATAGAAAGGTCAAGCACTTTTAAGGTGCCTACTAGTTTGAATCATTATTATTTTCACAATGTATAATTTCCAAGAAATGTGTGGCTATTCCTTTTAATGAATGAAAGTTGGACTACTTCTTCCAATCTGTCTTTGGGTTTTGAATGTGGAATACTTGTGTAAAGGGTAGATCCGTCACTTGCTTTATACTTTGGCCTTTCGTTATCGGGAGAATTTGGTGAAATACAAATCGACATACAATTGTATAATGACGAGTTTTCTAGGTCTGTCAGATTCATGCCATAGATCAAAATAATTATCGTGTTATCTGTGTAAGATTGTATTTTGTAAGTCGTATCAGTCAACGAAATTGTTCTTCCTAGTGGCTCCTTTATTTCACTTTTCAATGCTGACATTCTTTTACTTTTTATAACTGAACATGCTAAGCACCTGCACAACCCATAATTGAGCGTCAACTAAAAGACTGCATGCATACGGACCCAAATGAGGTCGAATTATTGTCTTGAAAAAAGTAAAATAACAAAAATACCGAACTCCAGGGAAAATTCAAAAAGGAAAGTCCCTTATCAAATGGCAAAGTGTTAGTTCGTTGAAGAATGCTGCAATTTTGGCAATATCAGAGGCCAAATAATGACTTTTATCGTGCCTCATGCTTTATCACTTCTTTTATCGACTAGAACGATTAAGAGCTCATCATATTTTGTGGACACCTGTTTGTCGTTGTTGCACTCAAGATGTCGTTTGGTTATTTGTCGTTTGATTACTGTCTCAATGACGTAAACCCCTAAAATTTCTTTTATTAACATTAATATCTAATGTATTTTAACAGATCTTTGTAATTTGTGTATCGACGTCTGATTCATACCGCCCCATGGTAGGTAGTTTCACAGGAACTCTGACGACGGTTTGAATTGAAGTTACAACGGAAGTTTCAAAAAGGAATAAGGTTTCGCAGAGCGTTTGGCAGACCCATCAAAATAACTTGTTTATAGGGATTCTTTAATGTAATTTGGGTATCCAGTTGTTCATCTTTAATTGAATTCCAACATTGCCCTTAGAAACATAACATGGAAGTTATCTAATTGTGAGTATATCTGCTATTGCTATTAAAATTAATTTTAATAATGAAATATAAGAAATAATTGTTTTCAATATGAAGGATTTAGTTGAGATTTATCCGAGGGCATTAACTTTTATTGCAGTTTGGCTAGACCTGAACATAAAAAGACCAAACTAATTAGGTCATAACAGATACAAACAACAGTTTAGGTCTATCATTTCCTATCATGATTTCCTTAATAGAGGTTTGCAACTTACAAGGAAGCATAAGAACCAGGTGTTTTCATGTTAAGGTTCATGTCATCATTTCTTCAGATCAACATAATTCTTTCTTAACATTCCAGTACAATGTACTTCTGGCTAAACCTGAACATAAAAAGACCAAACTAATTAGGTCATAACAGATACAAACAACAGTTTAGGTCTATCATTTCCTATCTGAAATCAAACAAACGTTAAAGTTGATCTTTTTCACTTTTTTAAGATCCTTTAAAGGACGTCTTCAACAAAAAAGTGATGCAACCAGGAGGTCTCTTCTTTTGTCTTGTTAATTTTCTATTCCTTACCATCTATATTCCTTTCATTCCTTCTGATGTGATCTACATTTCTTTGTTGGTTCTATTAGTTTTCTCAAATATGAACAAAACAGGGATGAGGGATAAGAATACTAAAACAAGTATGTTAAACTGTTAAACTGTTCATGTAAAGTACTTTTTCTGAGTATATTAATATTGCGAGTTTTCGTGAATTCTACTGATCGAGAGAAATATGGGAAAATTTTCATTAATATTAGTATAAACAAAACACTCACATCTGGGACCTTATTGAAACATATTTCATTCACCTTTTTTATTAACTCTATAATACATATAGTTATTAAGTTTTCGGGATCGTTAACTGTTTCATAACTCAGAATAGCTGTTTTTTATTACTTTAATGTCTCGATTTCAATATGAGGAAAATGGTATGGGGCGTATACGTCAACGAGATCGCAATATAACAACATAAAGAAACCTAAAGGGACATTCAATGATAAACAAGTGTCAATATTATATGTTAAGCTCTCAATAGATTTTGATGATTGTTGTAAACGTAGAATTCCGAGCGTTCATATTTATAAATAAACACCTTCTTTGTAGAAAATAACACGATTTATTCACACTGCATGTACAGACGTTACAAAGTTCACATAAAATACAAAACACACGGCATACACTCCGACAGTTCACACCATTCCAGCTAATCTGTTCATTCGTCAATAGTCACATCCAAACATCTCTCTCCTCTCAAGTCACTATCAAACAACGTCAAATACGGGAATGTTAACACTGTATTGCATAATCACGGACATGTAGACAAAGTTGTAGTCCCAACAATGATTTTCAGTCGCAATTTTTTTAAAGACTACCGCAAAATCGATGCAAAAATAAAGACTGAACAAAACGTTTGTCATAAACATCGGCCACCATAACGATGCACCTAATTAACTTGGGACAGGCATATTAAAATTTTGAAGGGTTACGCTATTCAGGTTAGTATATCAACGCTATCCCTTTCTGTATAAAACAATATATCTTCTGACAATAATCAAAGTAAAATAAATGTATATAAGATTTTTAATTCATTATGTGCAAAATAATGTACCTAAATTTACGTGTTTTCCCTTTTAGATGTGATTTTGATTTTACTGCAGACGACACTATATCTGCCAAAACAGCGTTCTTAGATATAAATGCTGATCTTAAGCTAAGTCTCCTATGTGGTTGGGTTCAAGTTCATGGATCAGCTAAATATTTGGAAAATCACAGAAAATACACACGACAATCACGTGTAACATTCAAATACAGATGTAGAACTCATTTCAAAGAGCTTCTAATAAGAGAAATAATGTCTGAGCGGCAAATAAATCCAAGAATACTCAGTTCAGAAAATGCTACACACGTGGTCGCTGGTATTCTATATGGGACAGATGCCATATTAGTATTTGACAGAACGACGACCGATGAAGAAGATGAATTGGAAACTCAAAGAAAACTCGAAGCAATGGTAAAATTTCTTCCAACAGCTTCAATTAAATCAAACACAGATGAACGAAAAAATAAACTATTGGATAATATTGAATTTACATATCATGGCGACATTCCGCTTGATTCCGAACCTTCTTCATTTGAAGAAAATATTAAAGCTTTTAAAACGTTTCCCTCAAAAATAGGACATATAGGGGAAAATTGTGTACCAATGAATGTATTTTTATATCCATTATGTAAGATTACAAATAAGACATTGACCTTAACCAAGCCTCTAGAAGTAACACTTGTCAATCAGATTGGAGAAAGATTGGAAAAAGTTCAATTCCTGAAAATGAAATGCAACGATCTTTATGCTAGACCTACATGTGAATACGACGAGAGATACCGACAAAAAGTACGTGAAATGCAAACGAGTATTGAACAATCTGAACAAAAGTTTAAGAGTCAGCTTTCCCAAAATGTTACCGGGTTAATATCAATGGATTTAATAAAAAGAAACGTATGGAATTTCTTAGAAGAATACGACAAGTCACCATTTAGCCATGAGAAGCTAGATAACAACTTGTCAGAACTGAGAACAGTTATAAATGTTCTTGACACTTGTGTAAGAACAATCCCGTCTTCCATTAAAGATACCCATTCGAATCCACTGAAAGACATCAAACATCAATTTTCTCATGTTGATGGACAATTTCAATTACCCCCAATTGAACACTTTTTTGAAGAACTACGCAAAGATGATAGTCTTACAACTGCACAGCGAAAACAAGGCCTAATGAATAATATTTTTAGCATGAGAAAAAGAATAAAAGACGACAGAGGCATCTTCAAAAGAAAACACTAACCAAGAAAACACTGTATCATTTCAAAAACAGCTGAAATACAAGGGATTATAGTGAACAAACTTTCGTCAAACAAGACGAAGATGTTGAACTATCAATTTCCATTAGACAAAGCAAACAGTCATTAAGACGAACAGAACATTTTGAAATAAATTTTGAAATAATTGCATGACAATTTCCTCCAAATCTACCTACTGATTATTCTTACGAGGTGTCCTATCGAAATGTTGATGGCGAAGAATGGACAAACCATCCGTTTCAAGTAAAATATTCCTCAGTGAATCTTTTTTCCTTTTTTTTTTTGTTAGTCAGATTCAGGTATAAATGCGGTGGATTTCTCGGAGACGACAATGAAATTTCAGATGCAATTATTGCGAACCGAATGAAACTTTTCCACAAATTCATCTCCTGTTGTTCAATCTATTTAAACTTTTGTCAGTTCTATTGTCCCATTGAATAAATACAATAGCTATTGTTCTCTATGTAGTTTATTCACTGGGATCTTTACATTTCTTCTAAGAGAAATCTATCACTCTTTGATTAATTTACCTGAGTAAACAATTATCTTCTACATGATGAAAATACATGTTTTAACTCACAAAACTGCATGTGATGTTGTATTTATTTAATATCAATAATATATTTTCAATCTGTTCAATGTAAACAGTAGATTTAATGTTTTGTTAACAGTTAATTTATAACTATGACCATATCAATGATACTGCATGTCAACACAGAGGTGCTTACTACTAGGCTGGTGATACCCTCCAAGAGAAACCTCCACCAGAAGTGGCATCGACCAGTGATTGTAAATAAACTCATCATAGATACCAGGATTGAAATTGTTTGCCAGACGAGCTTTTTGTCTACAAAAGACTCATCAGTGATGCTCGAATCAAAAATTTAAAGGCAAAATAAAGTACCAAGTTGAAGACCATTAGAACACAAAATTCCGAAATACTAGTATGCGTCAAAATTGTAATTTGTCATATAATTTGAAAGTTCACCTCACGATGAAAAAATGTTCTATACTAGTTTCAAGTTGGTGTGACCAAAACATCATGATAAACTATATTAATCAAAAGCTTTAACCTGAGATTGTACTAATCAATACTATAACGTTTCTATGTTTAATGAACCGTGTAATTGGGGGTATAACCGTAATCTGCCAAATAATATAAACATTCACATTACAATATGAGCAATTGTCTAACATTTCAAGTCGATGTGACCACATCTTCATGATAAACTAGGGGCCGCGGTGGCCGAGTGGTCTAAGTAGTCGAACTACTGTATCACTAGCCTGTCAACACTGAGGTTGTGAGTGTGAATCCCGAACGTAGCAGGTGAGCTCGACTCCCATCTTAATTGACTAGGAATGTCAGTTTTCCTACCGAAGGTCGGTGGTTCTATCCAGGCGGACATAAAAATGAATGTTACAACAATATTAAGCTCTTTATTATTTCAGAGAGCAATTATAAGCTATAGTTTCTGCTTTGATAAAATTTTAAGTTATTACATCATATTCTGTACTGAATTATACTTTTGGAATTCATTAGGTGATATACTTATAACATTTCCGTCTATAAGTACTGTCTCGTGATTTCAATTGCTTTTCTGTCATAGGATTTTTTTGTTGTTGTCAAAGTTTAGTATTTCCTACAATTGTGAAAGTACATTGTACGAAAAAATGTAAACAATCATTTCTGCACCAGTCAAAATTTCCTGTTATCAGTTTCACATTGTTTGATTGTATTGTCTTTCTAACACGATTTAAAGTAATTGTTAATATGCACGTGCCGGTAAAACAATAGCATTTGTTAAAATTAAAAAATATATGAATTGTGTTATTAAAAAGTATTAATAAAAATACCGCCTTCCAATGTTAACTCAAAATGGAAGAAGTCCATAAAAACTGACAAAATCAAACGTTAGACTTTATTAACCAACGGAACGAATGGAAAACAACTGTCATACTCCTGATTTGTTACAGGCATTTTCAGATGAAAATGTTGAGTTAAACCTGACTTCATAGCTAGCACAACCTCCCACTTGTATTAAAATTGTTCAAAGTTCCATTATATTGACAAAATTGGGTGAGCAACCCAAACAGACATAATAGGTTAATGTGACAATAATTGGGACCCAGCAGCCAAAACAGTGTAAACATACATCAAAGACATACAACACAACCAAATAAAGATCTAGACAAACATACAAATAATTTTAACAAAGACGCTACAAAAAAAATTTTGTAGTTGATAGTACATACAGAATACATTTTCTCGATAAAATACAAATGAAATAAGACATATATAAAAGGGAAAACAAAATGAAAATAAGCTCATCATAGATACAGCGATTAAAATGTGTACGCCGGACGCTCGAAAACAACACTATAAAACCTCTGGTGATCGAATCGCACCCCTGCACCCATCTGCACCATGAACGCTCAAAGCCAAAGACCCAATAGCTGGAAGCATAAATACCGAGTCACGTCAAAAGACATAAGACCAAAGGGAATATTAAATACAAAAAAGTCGACTCTGATGTGCGGAAACAATTGATGATGTGCTTAGTGGGTTTTTTGTTGAAAATGTATAATTACATCAGAAAGGATTTTTTTTTCCAAAACTTTAATTTTGGTCACTAAATGGCCAAGGGTGTATTAGCATTTCTCTCTTTTTGTATTTATTATTGTGATATTCGACTTATTGTCGCTGCAAGTTCTGTAAAACTTTTCAACAAGACGAAGACGATAACATTACCGGGTGTAGTAAATGATTATGTTAAACAACTGAACTCTGATGTGTGGAAACAATTGATGCTGTTCTTAGTGGGTTTTAAAAAAAATGTACAATCACATCAACAGTGTATTTTTTTTTCAAAAAGTTTAATTTTGGTCACAAAATGAGCAAGGTTGTATGAACATTTGTTTTGTTTTTTGTATTTATTATATATTGGAAATTATTATCGTCATGTAGGGTCATAGTCTTATTGTCATATTGTGTTTATCATATGTCAATCTTCGTTTATTGGAGGAAATTAAGACAATCAATCAATCTCCAGTAGCTACGATATTTCTATCATGAAATCCTTGTAATATTGTTAGTAAATAACAGTAATTAAATAATATGTACGTGTAAACAATGCATCCGGTAAAACCATTGTATTTGTTAAATTCAATAACAATTATTTAGTGTTGATGACAGATCCTTGATTGTAATTCCTGTTTAATCTTTTCACAATTTGTTTAGATTCGATGTAGATCTTAACAATGTGCATAGACACCTGACTATTGTTCAAGACTTTATGTTGCACTCATGTCTTCTACTTATTTGTGACAATGGTTGGTGGTATATACTCTACATCTTCTAAACGTATTCATTTGTTAGTTTATCGGTTTCAGACTAATTAGTCCGGTCTTCACTACACCCCAAGAACACAAAACAAAATGAGTGCATTTAATCTGCAATGCTAGACTCGATGTAGATTTGGCGTTTAATATGCATGATAAAAATGTATGCATCCGTCTACGGCTAGAATGATTTTCAAACCGAAAGAAAATAAAATCTTGCTTTCATCTGATTAACTGGAACTAAATCTCGATGGATATGAAATTATTTTCAAGGAAAAGAAATATTTTACTAAATTGGTTTTGAGGTTTTATGGAAGTCGAGGTTAGGAACAAACTGATTTGAATTGATCAGTTGATGGCAGGACTGTGAATGTGTGGTTAAAATCATTATTGTTGAGCGGGCTGGTATAGGAAAGGTATTCAATTGTGGAAGTTATTGCGCAAATTAGTTATTGTTAATCTTAATAGGTTGTATAAAATTTAACTATGGAGTGAAACTTTTAAAAATGTCCTAAATTTGGTTAAGCGACAGTAGTTTATTTGTGTTAAAATTCCGTTAATCGAATTAAAAATGATACAGATATAAGTAACAAACAATAACTGATGGAATTGCATGGAATCCAAAAGGAGCGAGACCGGGTACATGAATTACTATTTGCCCATCCGAAGTTAGTGTCCTGTAATATTCAGTTATTACTATCTATCAAGACGACGGTTCAATTTATCAGATTATACCGAGATTACTACTACAATGTGTATAGAAAAGATTTGTTTGGATTTAACATAGTTATGCTAGATTGGAAAACAAAGGCAATTTTATGAAAATGGGCAATTCACTAAATTGGCATTACATTCTTTATGTGCCTGTCCCAATTCAGGAGCCTGTAGTTCAGTGGGTGTCGTTGGTTCATGTCCGTCATATTTGTTTTTCGTTAATTGTTTTGTTATAAATTAGGCCGTTAGTTTTCTCAATTGAATTGTTTCATATTTTTCGTGTCGGGGCCTTTTATAGCCGACTATACGGTATGGGTTTTTTCTCATTGTTGAAGGCCGTACGGTTGCCTATAATTGCTTACATCCACTTTATTTGAACTTTTGTGGATAGTTGTCTCATTGGCAATCATACCTCATCTCTTTATTTTTATATAAAATAACATGCTACGCATTCAAGGTTTTTGAATTCAAAGATACAATGCATTTTCAAAAATACAAGATCTTGTTGAATTTGTGTATACATAATTTATTTATGTTGCTCGCTTCAGAAGCAAATATGTCATGCATATTAAAGACATTCAGTTTCTTAATTCTGATTTGTATCAACGACCTCACAGCCTTAATCCATTCGGAAAGAGTATCTACGTCTTCTTTCTCGCGTTTAACCCATTGCCTGGCATAATCATCGGTATTTTGAAGTTATGTTTCCAACTGATGGATTTAGGGTCACGATATTTCAGGCCTTTGGATAACACATTTCGCAGAGAAGTATTATTGACAATGTTTAGGTCACCAGTAATAACGTGGCCAGCCGGATAATATATGAATGGGGAACTAGCACAGGTGCAATCAGGAGGTTTAGACTTGAAGTCGTCAATATTGAGATCCTGCAACACGTGTTTGTAATTGAAAATTTTAGTTGCAATTGGTTTGGTATAGGTATAAGAAATGATAGGTACAGAGAAAAGTAAAATAACAAAAATACCCAACTCCAGGGAAAATTCAAATCGGAAAGTCCCTTATCAAATGGCAAAATCAAAAGCTCAAACACATCAAACGAATGGAAAACAACTGTCATATTCCTGACTTGGTACAGGCGTTTCCTTATGTAGAAAATGGTGGATTAAACCTGGTTTTATAGCTAGCTAAACCTCTCACTTGTATGACAGTCGCATAGAATTCCATTACTAGTATATTGACAACAATTTGTGAGCAAAACAAACAGACATAATAGGTGAAAATGTCAAAAATAGGGGTACAGCAGTCAACATTGTGTTATAATCTTAATCACTATAAAAACAAACAAATATGTCAACAAAGAAAAAACAAAATTGCATATAGACAAAGCACATAAGCAAAAATGAAAGACAAGAATACAAAAGATGACCAAAGCACAACAACTCATTGGC